TAATAGTTTTTTGGTGGAGTCTTGAGGGTTTTCTATATATAGTATCATGTCATCTGTGAGCAGTGAGAGTTTTACTTCTTCCTAACCAAATTAGATTCCTTTTATTTCTTTATGCTGTCCAATTGCTGTGGCTAGGACTTCCAGTGGTTAGAGTGGACATCCTTGACTTGTTCCTAGTAATATCACTTTAAAACATATAAAGCAAAACTTGACAGAACTACAAGGAAAACTGATAAACACATGGTCATGGTACAGATTTTTTTAATACATTTCTATCAGAAATGATAGATCAAATAATCAAAAAGTTACTAAGAATAGAAAAGATCTGAAAAACACAACTACTTTGAATTAATGGGCCAAAACCATCCATTCAACAAATAAAACACAAATAGATGAGTTACAGAAACTTACCAAATACTAGGCACGTCTTAACAAATAACAAAGACTTGATTTTATACAGGCATGTTTTCTGACCACAGTGAAATTAAGAAGGCAGAAGAAAATCTAAGCACCCAACTCAGGAAATTTAGAAAGAATACAAAAGAGTAAACAAAGAGTTTAAGGAAGGAAATACATGTAGAAGCTGAAAATAATGAACCAGAAAGTAAAGACATACTTAAAAAGGTTCAACAAATGGGGCGCCTGGGTGGCACAGTCGGTTGGGCTTCGGACACTGGTTTCAGCTCAGGCCGTGATCTCAGGATCATCAATCAAGCCCCGCATCCGGCTCCACACTGAGTGTGGAGTCTGCTTAGACTCTCCCTCCCTCTCCCTCTGCTCCTCCTTCCCATGCTCTCTCTCCGTCAAAGAAATAAATAAATCTTCAAAAAAAAAAAAAAAGGTTCAACAAAGTCAAAAGCTTATTCTTTGATAAGACAAACTTCTGGGAAGACTCATCAAGAGAAAAAAGAGATACAGGTAGACAATGTAAACAAGCAGAGGCTTTAAAAATAAAGAAAACATTGCAAATAACTTAGTAAATTTGAAAATGTATACAAAAACAGACGATTTCCTAGAAAAAAATTAAACTTGCCAAAAATTAAGAAACAGAAAACTGATGAAACTTGGTGACAGAAAAGAGATGGGCAATGAAGGACATGCAAAGGATGATTTTTAAGTCTCTATCTTGTTGGGTTTTTAGACGTAGGTTCAACTTACTCAGAAGGAGAAAACTAGAAGAAAAGCACAAGAGCAGTCTGGATGTCACTGTGGTTGGATTTTGTCTTTCTGTTTTGCACATGTGCGTGTTGGTAGTGGTGGTAGGGACGTTGTGTGCATATGTTGAAAGGAGGCTCCTTAAAGTCACGTAAATAGAAATGTTAAGTATGCAGTTGGATCTATGGGTCAGGAGCTTAGGACAGATTTGAGGTGAAGATACATATTTTGGAGTTACCTGTATTTAAATGATAATTAAAGCCACAGGTATGACTGAAATGCTGTAGGGCGATAGAGCATTGGTTCTCACAGTGTGGTGTCTGGATCAACAACCTTAACATCACCTGGGGATTTAAAAGAAATGCAAATTCCCAGGCCCCACCCTGGCCTTCTTGAATCAGAAACCCTGAGAATGGGGTCCTTCAATTTGTATACTGACAAGCCCTCCAGTGACTGTGATGAAGGCTGCAATCTGTGAGGTACTGCTGGAGAGTGAGACATCAAGAGGACCTGGGGCCTTGCCTTGAGAACGCCAACATTTAACAGAGGAGAATGAGCCTGCAAGGATGACTAGGAGCGACAGAAAGCGGAGAGTAAGAAAATGGAGAGAGAGCTTCAAAAGGAGTGTTTCAAGAGGTAGAGTGGCAACTTCTTCTGTGCTGTCACTTAAAACAGTTCTAGAAGGGTCTGGAACGGGCTGAGAACTGAGCAGGAGCTGAGAAAATAGAGACAGTAAGCATAGACAGCTCAGAGCCGTTTGATCATAAAGGGGAAACAAAGAGGGTGAAGATGGAAGAGGCTGACAAGGGAGGATTTTTTTAACAGAACAGTAACAAGCATGATGGACTGCTGTGGGAGAATCTAGCTGAGAGGGACAGAGTGAGTGTACAAGAGACAGGAACGGACAGCAACAGCAATGGCACATTTAAGGGGCGGGGCAGCTTCTGCATCAGCAGGGGGAGCGTCTTATTACTTATAATCTTTGGAATTGCTAGACAGAGTAATAATAAAAAACAGACCAACTTTTTGTTGGCTTTATTACTGCCTTTTTTTTTTTTTAAGATTTTATTTATTTATTTGACAGGGAGAGAGAGAGTGAGAGCGCACAAGCAGGGGGAGCCAACAGAGGGAGAGGGATGTGCAGGCTCCCTACTGAGCAGGGAGCCCGATGCGGGGCTCCATCCCAGGACCCTGGGGATCATGACCCGAGCCGAAGACAGACGTTTAACAGACTGAGCCACCCAGGCGCCTCCTATTATTGCTTTTTTAATTGTTAACTGATACTGTACCCCTTATTGCCTATACCAGGGGCAGCCCACTTCCACCGCCCTGTCCTTGGTGTCACTGGATGATAATACAAAGTTTCTGAAAACGGAAGAGGGAATGGGATCAAAGCATAAGTGGAATGACTGGCCTTGGATAAGGGGAACAGATTACCTTTTAACCAGAAGGAAGGAGGTAAACATGATGGGCACAGATGTGGCAAGTCTGCAGTTTGGTAGTAGGAAGCTGAAGGAGCTATCCTCAAATGGCTCCTATTTTCCCCATGAGGTCATCTGCAAGACCCTTCCTACTGTGAGAAGGCTATGTTCCATTCTCTTGGCCTACTGCAATTAAATGTCTGATTCGTACTCACTGAACAAACTTCCATGTGTGATTTGGCTCCCCCTGTAGGCCTACCCATGGGGCAAGAATGTGCTGATCACACAGATTTGAGTATGTCTCAGTGGTTTCTCATAGTAAACTGATAAACTGTTATATTTTTTTTTTAAAGATTTTATTTATTTATTTGAGAGAGAGAGAATGAGAGATAGAGAGCATGAAAGGGAAGAGGGTCAGAGGGAGAAGCAGACTCCCTGCTGAGCAGGGAGCCCGATGCGGGACTCGATCCCGGGACTCCAGGACCGTGACCTGAGCCGAAGGCAGTCGCTTAACCAACTGAGCCACCCAGGCGCCCACTGTTATATTTTTTTTAAAGATTTTATTTATTTGGGTGCCTGGGAGGCTCAGTTGGTTAAGCACCTGCCTTTGGCTCAGGTCACGATCCCAGGGTCCTGGGATGGAGTCCCGCATCGGGCTCCCTGCTCAGCAGGGAGTCTGCTTCTCCTTCTCCCTCTGCCCTCCCTCTCCTCTCATGCTCTTTCTCAAATAAATAAAATCTTGAAAAGAAAGATTTTATTTATTTATTTGAGACAGACAGAGAGAAAGAGCAGGAGTATGGAGGAGGTACAGAGGGAGAGGGAAAAACAGACTACCTGCTGAGCAGGGAGCCCAACGCGGGACTCGATCCCAGGATCCAGGGACTGTGACCTGAGCCGAAGGCAGAAGATGCTTAACCTGACTGAGCCACCCAGGCGCCCTGATAAACTGATTTTTGGAACGTGATTTGGCTTCTACGTAGCCTGGCTACAGATAATAGATCATAGTCCTTTTTTATATTGAGTCCTATTTCTTGGTCCTATTTCTTACTGAGTTATTGTCTCGGGATCCAATTGCCTTTTTTTTTTTAAGATTTTATTTATTTATTTGACACAGAGAGATAAAGCACAAGTAGGCTGAGCAGCAGGCAGAGGAAGAGAGGGAGAAGCAGGCTCTCCACTGAGCAGGAAGCCGGACGTGGGGCTTGATCCCAAGACCCGGGGATCATGACCTGAGCCAAAGGCAGCCGCTTAACCAACTGAGCCACCCAAGGCGCCCCAAGATCCAACTGCTTTTGCACAAAGTCACTAAAGTACATCTCTGACCCTACAGAGGTATGGGCCAGACCCACATTTAAGCAGCCAGAGTACCCCTCTTCTCTGTCATGCCTTGCTCAGCAAATGCTGGCTTTTCATTAACTGTCACTGGCCCAATTTCTACCTCTTCTTTCTCAATTCCTTTTGACATCTGTCTGTTCATTAAGATATTTTAAATTGGCTGTCACTGCACTGACCTACTAGTTTTTGTAGGGAGGAATTTCTAAGAATAATATAGGAAATAAAACAAGGACCTCAGTGATATGTCACCATTATTCATTTTCTTATTCTATTATTCATTCAGTATTTACAGACCATATACCCTGTGCAAGGCTTAATATTAGAACTATGGAGAATACAAAGTCCTCAAGGTATTTATAATCCAGAAATAAAAGCAATTAGCTCCACCAAAGAACAGGCTTGAGGAAATGGGACTTTGATTGCAAGGGAGAAATTAGAAATAAAAATTCCTTATGTAAAAGTGATTAAAGCAGAAATAGGCTATCAAAGGAAATCCTCAAATCTGAGTAACTTTAAAAAAATATGATGACTTAGAGACAGACAGCCTTGCCCACAGGCAAAGGTTATAGCAAGCCCTCTGGAATGACGCACACAATGACTCAGGACTTTCTGACATATAAAGAACCCACCAGTCTCTTTGCAGAAGGAATAAGGGATCAATAGAAAAGTTTATTAGGGTTCTTACCCCCAAATGCTCAGGTACTGCAATCCTTGAGTTGCCTTGTAATACTTCTCACTTATCTTTGCTGCCCTTGCTCCCCTCTACCACAGTTTGTGCTCAGACATAAATAAGATGCAGTTTTTCCATGACCTGGAATTTTCTGCCATTGAATCATGTCAGCTATGCACATACACGCTACCACCCAAGCTCTGTGTAAATGATTTGATGACTTAGGTATTTTAAAAGTGCCTAGCACACAGCAGATGCTCAATTAAGATTCATTTCCTCCTTTCTTTCCTTCCGTTTTTCTCTCTCCCCTGGTGAGGAAGGGAGGGAAAAAAGAGGAACCAACAAGACAGATCTTCTGTAAGATAGCATTCTTTGGGGTAAAAATACTGGAAAGGTTTAAACCACTTCTCATTGCCTACCTTGTGTCTGCGGGATGTAGGGAGACAGGAGTTTTGACCTTTTCTTTTCGTATCCCTTCTGTGTGATGTCCCCTAAAATAGCAAGAAACAGAAATAGGTTATGCATTATTCTTACTCTGTGGTTGTTCACTGTAAAAATAAAATTAATTACAGAGTGTTATAGAATTACCACATAGAGAGTAGGGGGGAAAATGTATAGCTCCTTGCCAAGGATTTTGCTATGTGTGATTTCCCACAGTCTTGGAGCTGACTTCTTGTGGAAAATTGTAGGGCTTGTCTCCACACCAATCTAGCATAGCAATATGCTGCATACCATGTCAGAGATTCCCGAGTTCCTAGGCACCCCTTGTTTCCCTGGTATTTAGGATAGACCAAAATGGAATGCTGCAAGGCTGGCAGACAAATGATCTCTCCAAAGTTTCAGTTTGACCACATGAATGCAACTGACACAGGAGGTACTCAACTATATTGCTATATGGAACCACGTAAAATCAAAAGTCTAGTTCAGGGGAGAAGTTGAGGTCCAGGCACTGGAATGGGATACCTGAAAGGCCTTTCTGCATCCCAGTACCTGTGCCTGAACCGGGGCTCTAATTCCCATATTCTCTCCCCTTGGTTCACTGGTTTGTATTATTTATGTACCTGGATGTCTTTTTCACAAGGTTAAACAAAAGTATACACAAAGGACAAAAAGTACACATGCAACAAATGCAATAAGAATAAACTGATTAACAGAGGAAAAAATGTGTGGTGGAAATGCCAAGGACGACACTAGGTACTAAAGAAAAGGTAGCAAATGAATGGGTCGAGAGCAGGGTGAAAAGGAACAGGAAACACAGGAGAACAAAAGTTCATTCAAGGGAGAATGAGTAACTCAAAGCTGGGGGAATAAATATATATTGTGAGTTGACATGGTAAAGCATTGTTTTCTAAAAAAAGAATTTTTTTTTAATTCAGAGAAAACTTTATTTTAAAGTCAAAATTTAGCATAAGAAGTAATTTATATATTAAAATTTACAACAGAGACTTGAAACCAAGGCTGGTGATTGTCGGGTGCTGTTAGCCTCAGCCCGGGACTGATGCAGTAGACAGTAGGGAGGTAGCAGAGCTCACTGAGGGCTTAAGCAGGGAAGTGACACTCGAAGACTGTGGAGTTCAGCAAGTTAGTTCACTCTTCCTGAGGAGAATGGGACCAAGGGTAGAGGCCAGAGAGACTACCTGTTACCCCAGTGCTACCACAGTGATCTGGGCAAGTTAGTAGTAGCCTAAATTAAAGACAGTGGTAGAAGGGATAAGAAGAAGTGAACGGATTAAGAGAGACATTTGGGAGGAACACTGGACAGGATCTGGTGATTGGATGGATATGGGTGAGAACATTTTTGGCAGATGGCGGTGCTATTCCGTGACAGAGAAAAACAGTAAGAAGTGCAAGTTTGGTGGGTTGAAGAAGTTGAGCTTAGGAAAGGCCCAAGAGACACACAAAAGGACATGTCCACCCAACAGCTGGATATGTGGATCTTGAACTCAGGAAAGAGAGATAATTTTGTGGGGCACCTGGGTGGCTCTGTCGTTAAGCGTCTGCCTTCGGCTCAGGTCATGATTCCAGGGTCCTGGGATCGAGCCCCGCATCGGGCTCCCTGCTCCGCGGGAAGCCTGCTTCTCCCTCTCCCACTCCCCCTGCTTGTGTTCCCTCTCTCACTGTCTCTCTCTCTCTCTGTCAAATAAATAAAAAAATCTAAAATAAATAAATAAAGGCTATTTAAAAAAAGAGAGAGAGAGAATTTTGGAACCATGAGGATATAGCTGAAAAATAAACTGATACAATCTCTTTGAAGTAATTTGGCAATTTCTAGCAAAATTTTGATTCAGCAGCTGCATTTTTAGGAATTTATTCAATGATAATATTCACAATGGTGCACAAAAATCAAATAAGAATATTGCCTGACCTAGTCTTTGTAATAAAAAAACTGGCAGGAGTCGAGATACAGATTACAGACCATCTATGTCAGTGGCTTTCAACTGGGAATGATGTTGTTCCCAACAGGAGAACTGACGATGTCCGGAGAGATTTCTGTCACAACTGGAAGAAGGGGTACTACTGGCATCTAAGGGACAGAGGCCAGCGATGCTGCTAAGTATCCTGCAATGCACAGGACAGTCATACAATGAAGAATTATCCAGTCCAAAATGTCAAAGTGTTAAGGATAAGAAACCCTGGTCTACATAGTAATAGGTTGGTATTCCAAATGTACTGGCATAGGAAGATGTCTAAAATATACAAAGCGTAAAATGCAAGTTGCAGAACAGTAAGTATAACAGGATCTAATTTTGTAAAAAATAGAAATAGATACATTTCCATATCTATAGAAAATAGTCTGGAATATAATATATATACATTAAATTAATGTTTATCCTTTAAAAAATGGAATTATGAGGGTTTTCACCTGTTTTATATACTTTAACAGAGTTTGATTTAAGAAAACAAGACTGGATGATTTGCATAATCTCAAAAATAAAGATTTCTTTCAATTAAGGATGAATGGTTCTACAGATATGTATTTGTAAATAATAAGATGGTCACTGTGTGTGTGTATGTGTACACAGATTTTATATATATATATATATATATATATAATAGGGAAAAAGGCAAAATACTAAACAGTTTACATAGTATATTCAATTTTTGGAATAACTGTTTTTATACACACACGTATGCATAGAGAAAATCTGGAGTTTTACACATCAAAATATTAACAGTGGCTAGCTATGGCTTGCAAGGTTATGGATTCGTTTTAGCTTCTTTTCCTTTTTGCTTGTCTGTACTTTCTCATTTTTCTACAACAAACATCCATTATTTCAAGAAACAATAAATAATTTAAAACTACAATCACAACTACTTACTAGACCGCACAAACTGAATCACAATGGCCCTTCATCTTTGCTTCTCTAGTGAAATAAGAGAAACCTGCAGTGCATTTTTTGGAAAAAGAAACCAAATCTTGTCAAATTAGCAAACTGAAGAGTTTAGGTAATCTCCAACATTACATACAACTAACCGAGATGTGGGAGCCTACCAAGGAAACCCCTCTTAAAAGGAGGAAATCAAGTCTTTCATTGCAAAAGAAACAATGGAGCATTCTCCTGTCCCATTTCCCACTCACAAGCTTCACTATTTCTACTGTACACATACATCCCACTCCCCGAAGGGTACAAAGACCACTTCTGCAGCCTCAGAACACATCTTTTAAAGTGAAAGGCTTTTTAAGCTTTCTTCAGGGTTTAGAGAGTCTCAATTATTTACTGTCAGCAACTGATCGTGGGACAAACTGGTAGACCTAGTATCTTGGAAGTTAATCAACTAACCATCTCAGGTTTTGAAAAAAGTCAATCAATGGAGTCCAATTCAGCCACGACAATCAGCTCCATTAGATCCATAAATGAGCAAAGCCATTTAAGGAGACCTAGAAGATGAATTGCAATGAGCATGTGAGGACTCTGCTGATGAGCCTTTAAAATGCCCTCCCCTTTTCTAAGACCATGCTCAAAAGTCACCTCCTCTGTGACACCTGCCACCCCTCTTCGTCACTTCTCAGTACCCCTTCACCTCTGCACACGCTATAACAGCATGTGACACATCACTGGTACTTTAATTATTTGTTTACACATCTGTGTCCCTACTAGACTGTGCACTTGAGGGCAGGGATTGTGTTGCGTTCATCTCTGTAGCCCGCCCACAGCCTGGCACAATAGACACTTGTTGAATGAGTGACAGAATGAATTTGTAAGGTGGAGGCAGTGAGAGAAGAACAAATCAGAGACATGTATACTTGGGTGGAAAACTGGAAATGGGAGAAAGAAAGGGCTTTACGTTAGCAAGAGCTGAAAGGCCCAGGGAAAGAAATTTAGTGAACCAAGTTTACTGAAATTGGACAGCTAGACTTCAAAGGTGACCAGAAAAGCTGCACCTGGCCTGCCTGAAGGGAGGAATATAGTCCATAAGATCACTGGGCATTAAAAGCTATAGGAACTGCACCAGATATCGATGTATCCCTTAGCCAGAGGGCAAGACCAGACCGAAGGAATTCAGTCAGCCCGCCTAACTGAATTTGTTATTCCACACCTCAGTCACTGTCCACCGACAGTCTGTGCTCTTATCATCCTCACCACTGCTAGTTAACCAGTGTTTGCTGCACTAAAGCAACATTTCCCAAACACCCAATTTTTGAGAATCACCTGAGGAACTTGTAAAAATACAAATTCCTGGGGCACCTGGGTGGCTCAATCAGTTAAGCGGCTGACTCTTGGTTTTGGTTCAGGTCATGATCTCTGGGTCCCGAGATGGAGCCCTGTGTTGGGCTCCCCGCTCAGCAGTGAGTCTGTTTTAGGATTCTCTCTCTCCCTCTTCCTCTCCCCCGAACTCTCTCTCTAAAAGAAACAGATAGGGGCGACTGGGTGGCTCAGTTGTTAAGTATCTGCCTTCGGCTCAGGTCATGATCCCAGGGTCCTGGGATCAAGCCCCTCATTGGGCTCCCTGATCCGCAGGAAGTCTGCTTCTCCCTTTCCCACTCTCCCTGCTTGTGTTCCCTCTCTCGCTGTGCCTCTCTCTGTCAAATAAATAAAATCTTTAAAAAAAAAAAATCTCTAACATGTTTTTAAGAAATAAATAAATAAATAAATCTTAAAAAAAAAAAAAAAAAAAATTCCCAGCCCCTAGCGTGAAGATTCTGATTCACTAAGTCTGGATTAAGCCCAGCTCCTGTATTTCTAACCAGTGCCTTCCAAGGAGTCTTTAAAAATCAGGCAAGTTTGGATTGCCTGATAGAGAATCATGTCTGCAGTGTGCTGGGCAGTTCTGACTTAATGTGAGGGGACAAGAGAAGAGGGGAAGAATGTTGTCTCAGTGGGGACAGAGCCTCAAGGGAGAGCAGAAAGGGGGCTCACAGACGCTCAGTCACACCACAGGCATTCTTAGAACAGATTTTTTGCCATCTGGCATATAAAACAAAAAGGAGTGCCATAACTATACCTGTATAAAATTTGCATTAAAATGGCACAGATCTAAGTTAAACCTG